TACATAGCTTTGCTTTTTCAAATGTTGTGCTTTTACAATATGGGCTTTCAAATTCTGAAAAGTCTGTAGAAATGAAATTATACAGAATGCAAGCGGGGATCAAGGCATTTTGACTGTCAGCAAATACAAACTTTTCTTGAGTTAGGTTGATGCACTAAAAAAGTTGGCTTGCATATTAGGGTAAAATTATATAATATTTTTAAAAATCATAAACGGAGTCTAACAGGGTACTCGCCTTTTATTAATAATTAAATACATAACATTTTTGAGGTGGACTCCTATTTTGTTTCACCATATTGCATCTTCTCAAACAATGACATACAGCCGAAATTATTTTCAATCTATAGAATGTATTTTGAGCCGACCCTATGACGGTAGGTGCGAAAGATAGAATAAAGCAGTATTACCGTGCTGTTTACACTCCCCACTATCCCTGACGACCAGGTCCATCAATTTCGCCTAATTGTCTGTGGTTCAAGGTAAAAACTTTGTGATGCCTCTGCTGGTTTGCATACTTGTACTCTACCCTTATCTAGTGTATGATATTGTGTGATTTCGCCTGCAATGACAAATATATTTTGCGATCACTTTTTGATGAATCAAAAGAGGAACTAAACGATAAAACATAGCGACAACAAGTGCTCTAATAATATGAGGTGTATTTACCCAATTTCGTTTAAGGTGATGAAGGACTAGTAGTCGAATTTTTCCATAATGAAATGATACGAGCTGACTTTTCTATTGAATTTCACATAACCTTGCTTTTCCAAGTGTTGTTCTCATCCCGGCTGGAGTTGACGGCAGTTTCGACTTCGCCTCGGGCTTATCAACACCCTCAGCGGGACTCGAACCATGACAGTGCAGCATATGACCCACATTGCCACGAGGGCCTTTGGGTCACAGGGCAAATGTGAATTTCAAGGAAGGCCAGGCCTTTTACAACATCACATTCTTTGGTGGGATTGTCGATATTATCCCCCCTAATTTTCGTATGTAAGTAGAGTTTAGAGACTACCAGTTATTACGTATGAAAAATAAGTAACCTTGCTGTCTGTTGCTACAGCAAAAATACGTTTGCTTCATCGACAATCAACCAAAGAATGTGATATGGAAACGTGTCAAGCTCACATTCCGCACTGTCACTGTTCGACTCCGCTGGGAGTTTTAATATGAACAAGATGAGGTCGAAACTGTAGTCCACTCCAGCCGGGATGTGAACAAGTGTTGGGAAAGCAAGGCTATATGAAATTCTTGTACCAGTCCTTAATTATCGTAAACGAAATAGGGTGAATACATATCATACTACTGATTTACTGGTAGTCTCGAAACTCTACTTACATACGAAAAATAGTCTCTAATAGTTTTGGTCTAAGAGAATTGTTTAAAGGAGAACCTTTGAGTGGGAAGAGAAAGAGACACGCAGGCGAAACGATAAATGGCTTTAAGATTGCTTGTTACTTTGATTAATTTCATAACAGTTTCTCTGTTTCAAAGCCTTCAATTTGTGGCTATAAAACCCTCGTGTCGTCTAGACAACAGTAAATCTTTAGCCAAGCCAAGATTAGAAACCCAATTGATGCTTTTGTGACGCTTTTTAGATATTAAAGCTGCTAGTCTTGAGCTAATCGTGTCATAATTTCACTATACAGTTGCTGTGGAAACCACGCCTATATGCCAGTGTTCCATGGAGCTTTCCTCGGGTTATTTTCGGCATAGAAGCAGGCTCAAAATCATGCCTACATTTTATCTATTTCTGGATATAATCAGCATGAATAAAGCTTCCATTTTAGCCAAAATCAAGCACAAAATAGGCTATAGCTTCTGTCCATTCTGTTTCCTAATCGTTTTTGAGGCATAATATACAGTGAAATTACGCTTTAATGACAAGTCTTACATTCACTTCACAGTGACTAGGCAACCTATCACTTCCTAAGACGTTGTGTATTTCTCCCAATATTTTAGTATCATACCATCGAGCTCAAGTGCCACGTGGAAATTCGGCTCTAATTTTGGCCGGATCATTCGCTATGCTCTTTTGGTAAAGGCCAATCTTGTGATGACAATTGCAGAAAAATGAGTTATCCAGTTCAGCGGATCTTGCGGGCCGCATGACTTCTGGTTCCACTGAAGCGAAGCATGTGTCGACTCGCTGTTCTTCGAGCCCAATGTGCGCTTGCCTATCTCGTGACAGATATTGTCAGAACGAGAGTCGTTAGTAGCTCAGGGTTTTCGTGAAGTTTGCTATAAAATAGTTACTTGCTCTTCTGTCACTCTTCTGTCACAACAGGACAGACTAAAACCCAGAAATGATGCATCAGAGTCGGAGGCCGGAAGTTGCAGTATAGACTTTAAAGCAACCGTTGGTTTGTAACTAGGGTCTCGAGACTATCAAGACATCAGGAATATGAGATGTGATTACCATATTGTGCTTAGGAAGATGAAAGATTGGTAGTTCAATTTTTCCATGATGACATGAGAAGACTTTAAAGTTCCATTCTATTTAACATAGACTTACTTCCCAAGAGATATTATCCTTCAGTCTAGACGGCCCTTTTGACTCCGGCGGGACTCGAACCCTGGAAGTGCAACGTACAATTTCATAACGTTGACGACTACGTCACACTGTCACGAGTGCCCTTGAGTTGTGGGGCAGATTTTAATGTCAAAAAAGGCCCAGCATCTTCTCATATCACATTATGCCGATAAGATAATGTTATATTTACTACAAAACTCAACGGTATTACTTATTTTGCCTTTGTAAGTAGACTTCGAGACTACCGATAAATGAGATCATTGGGAAAAAATTGAATTTTCAGTCCTTCATCTTTTGTGGTTGTCGGTGAAGTTGAACTACGAAGAACTTGCATTCAATGTTTATATGAAATGAAGTACTCTCTCCAAATAACACTTTAGCTTGAAACTATGATTTTCCCATTACGAGTATTCTTCGAAATGTTTATGTATTCTTTTAATTGAATACGTCCATATCAAAAATATTCACAGTTTCCTCGATCACGAAACTGTTAGTTACAACTGTCCTCTTTCTCTTTGGTTGCCATTTGATGAAGGCTGTACCAGTTTCACTTACGTGTTCATTTGTGTACAGCAGTGCTGAGCGCCTATGCGTCCGCAACAGTGCGTCATGTCCGGATGTTGGTTGACTTGTGGACAGCGAAACTTGCCCGATCCCAGCAGAACTTGGCGAGGATGACTGGCATTTGCGGTGCTCACATTGCGCCACTGTCGGTAGCGCTGATTTATGCACCAGTAGACCCGTCCCACATGTTCGCCAGCCTCGCCGTTCGTGGTTTCATGTGACGACCATCTGCCGCCGACGGCCGATCGCGACAAACTGCCTCTTGCCGGAGCAGACGAAAGAGGTCCTGTCTGACGTCCGGCGGCGATGGAGCCGCCAATCTCGGCTCCCGCAGAGTCTGGACGAGGCACCGGATGAACTCGGCCGCCGGAGACGAGCTGGAAGGTGAGCAGTGCGAAGAAGGCCATACAGCGCCTGACAGCCGCGATTGTCTGGCGGCACCGCATCAATTCCTCATGAAAGCCACAACAGAATGGAAGTTGACGAGACAACAGACAGCCTAAACTCTCTTCACACGACGCATGTGATTGTCTGCCAAATCCACTTGCCGCAGGTCGGCACGCATGACACGAGGCAGGCCTTGCGGGTCGTATGAAGAATGCAGCAAAAGGTGGGAAAGTCATCCGGACCTGCGTAAGTTGGGCAAAAATGTCGCCTGAGCTGACTGGCCCAACTCACGAGGCTGACGGCCAATCGAAGTGTACTGACGGAGCCGAGAATTTTGATACGCCAATTTGAGCCTAAGTCTGTCGTCTTGGTCTACAGGCAGCCTGCTCTCGCTTGATTAGCATCTCGTAGTCAGGCCGAAGCCTTGTCATTTTCAGGTCAAGGTGGCATGCTCTGCATGGAAATTAATCTTGCCTCATATTGAAATGAAACACTGACTTGAATTAATATATGATTTTCTATGGCAGCCTATAGACGTCAGTTTATGGCCATATTGTGAGACATTGAATATAATAAATTGTATTTTTTTCAATAGACTACTTCTCAATAAGGGATATCTGAGCCAATTATTCTCGAACAAACATACTTGTGTCTTGAAAAAATGAAATAAGCATATTAAAATTGACGCATTCAAATATTATAATTTAAGCACAAATTGAAATGTGTTTGCTAACTGGCCTTACCGGAAGCTGAAGTAAGATTGGTTTGTAATACAGATCCCATCAAAACGCTCTGTTTCACACAAGACCGGTTAACTAATCCCTTACAAGTAAATTTTCTTTCGAAAGTCGAGTCACATTAAGTTAGTGAGGGATCCATTCTTCAGATAAGTAAATATTATTTTTTTATTTAGCAACAAATAGTTTAATAGTAAAAGTATAAGTCCATAGCGAACTAAGATACATTACTCCTTCTAATATATTTTAGCGATTGTAAGAAAAAAAGTTTTAAATATCCTTATACGGAATTGAGCCAATACAAAATAATTGTTAGTATACGGTAGACCCCCATGAAATCTCAGATAAACCCACTTTAAAAATGAAATCCACCTCATCAACTATTATTCAAAAAATCCTAAAAATAGTCACTTCCTCTAATTAAATTTGCGAACTCTCCAACCAAAGGTGGTTGAAACATGACAATAAATATTTGTATTTAACATCAATAATTCTATTTGCACTTAACAACAAACAGAATATATAGACAAGAATCGGGTGGATTGGACAAATATATAGTTGAATTGAAGTGCCTCGAAACGTTGGAAATGCTCTGTTTTTCGCGATGCTTTGTTCCATTGTGGGACAACATTAAATGCTTTCTTCGCACAGATAATTTAGCCTCCTAAATGCCAGAATGAGGAGAAGAGGAGGTGAACAATTCTTTAAAAGTATTTACTAGGACTAAGTTCTGAAAGATTCGGTGATTTTCGAGGGATGCCTTAGTCACATGTGATTGCCTAAATGTATGTAAGGAATGATATGAACGGGACTCATGGCGCCATTATACTTCCCTCAGCCTTGATTCTAGAACATTCTATCACCCATATTTACTCTTACTGCATATAAGTAGCGTCATCGACTATATTGGCTGTGTAGTAAAGTCTTAATTTAACTAAATAATCATCAGGACCATGTTTATGGTCCCTTTCGAGGGGCTGAGAAGACTGAAGTGTGGTAGAAATTGAGAAAAAGATTTTGTGCAAGGTTGCGGGAGATTCAACTTATATCCTGTTGATAATTCTTCCCTATCAGAAGCTAAGTAAAATTAGAAAACCTAGGTTGATTAACTTATTATTCCATTTTATTAGCCAACTTTCCAAAGAATCTACATCTTCAAGCCTGCTTTCCATTGCTATTTATACTGGATGAAATAAGCCGGGCCAGAAACATGTACATGATGCAAAATAAGTTGGGATGTATTCACTCTATTTCGCTAATGGAATGAAGATTCGTAGTTGAATTTTTCCACAAAAAATTGAGAATACTACGTTTCCATCGAATTTCCCATAGCCTTACATTCACATAAAGTATTTACATCCAAGCTGGACTGCAGTTGCCACCTCACCTAGGTCGCATCAGCACCCCCAACGGGACTGGACACGTGATAGCTTAGCATATAATCTAAACACATTAACCTCTAACATTCAAAGATGGCTAAGTATTTTCCCATATCACATTTTAATTTAATAAATAGCTTTTTGAAACTATTGGTTGATCATATATATATAATATTTATCGAAAACCTACTTATCAACAAAAATAAGTGATGAGATATGAGAAACTGCAGCTCACTTCAACAAGTCTTAGTTAAATTCAATGGAAACGTAAGGCCTACGCTTATATAATTGTAAAGCAATTGAATTACCTATCTTTCAGCGCCTCAACAAAATAGGGTGAATTTATCTTAATTATATGATCTACTGATAGCCTCGAAAACCTATTTATCGACTAAAAATATTAGTTTCATTTTTTAATAAGTTTTGCTCCTTCACACGCAGCTACTACTAACTTACTTTATTTACTATTTTAGGAAAAAATGGATAGACAGGTATCGTATATTTGTATTATTTAAGATAGTATAAGCATTAATTATGTCTTCCTCTTTACCTTTCTTATATTATCACTAAATCCAATAAATTTTCTCTTCTGAGTAGAACCAACCATGCTGAATTACTAATAATCCTTGCATGTTACACATAAATTTGTGCTGAATGGAATGGGAATGGATGCCAGGCGAAATGCTGAATTCGATAAAGAGTCTCGTGGTGCTATCGTTTACATCCAAATAACATATTCTTTCTGGAATTTTGTTTCTTCTCCTCAAGCAGCATGAGACCGCAATAGATTTAATCATAATTCAATTCCAATCTGGGCAGAGCATGCGTATTTCTACGAATAACTAAGCAATCTTGGCCGACAGCTGAGCAACCAAGTTGCCAGATTCCACATTCACATCCAATAAATGCTTTAACCGGACGCTGCTCTGCAAAGAAAAAATAAGCACATATATAATCAAGCTTTATTCGAATTGTTAAAAAACAATTAAGAAATTATACGACATCCACAGAGTATTGCATGCTTACTTACTATAAAGTACATTAGTATGCCATTTAAACTAAATAAAGTGCTTTATATTAATAACCATAATATAATTGTAGTCTCATGAAGAATATGTTAATACATAATTCCAGTTTTTTGGCTATTCTTTTCAGCCTAAGATATAGAAGTTCCACCAAAGATTTATACCAAGACTGAAATTTTGGCGAATGTAATTTAAAGTTTATAGAGTTTATCGAAACTTTATATGAATTTTGATCATTGTATGCTCTCTGAAATGACATTTTCCTTGCGGTCGAAGAAAACAATAATAGTTTAATAAGTGCTTAGCATACACACAAAACCGACTCTGCTCAGCATTTTTGATACCACTCCAGGCGGATTATAATGAATTCGTATGAACTAACTTAGACGTGATAATTTTATAAATATACGCTTAATGAATCAAATCTTATCGAGTTCGTCTTATTGCCCAATAAGAATAGGCTAGACATAAATGTCTATTTATCAAAACACGCAGCTCACAGCCGAATTGACCACTTAACTATTTTCAGTATAGCTTTAATCCGAGCTATGCAATCGATGTTGGCAAAACATAAACACCTGTAAAGTGACATTTGTCTGTCTGCCCAATTCTTTTCATTTTAGCCGCCTAAGAAACAATGAAGATAAGCAAACTAACTCATTCACAGCCTTACCACTTGAGCTCAGAATGAGAACATTCTTATAATTTTTAAATAAAAAGCAGGCTCTTTGCAAGGTTATCCAGATAATTGTTTTAATGTATAATTAACAGATGGGCTTTAAGGCTTTCATAATGAGATAATTTTCAAGAGACTCGTCAAAACTCACTTTTTCGAGATTCTGCTATCTGGAAATGTAAACTTTGTCCAGGCCTTAAAAGTCTACTTCAAGACACCAGATCTGCTTTATCCCATGCTGAGCCACTTTAGTACAAGCTTCTTCCGTGAGAAGCAGGATTCCTTCCCTGCCTAAGGCATTTCTAGCTAAACAAATCACTCTGTGCAAATTGATAAATAGAATTACAAGGGTCAGCCCAACTCTGCTCAAAAAAAGAGAGTTGGCTATAAAACGTTCAATTGAATCCTGTTAAATAAACTATGAAAATATTATTATTCTTAATATGAAATAATAATATTTTTAATGAGGCACATTGCTTCTTTGCATCACATTCGAGATAAAATTTAGCCAGGCAAAATATAGTTAAGCAAATAAAACTAAAAGACCCCCGAATCAATCGGAAAAGCTTCTGTCTTTACTAATTATGAAAGCGTCTTCAATTTATCAGTCATTTAGAAGAGATGCTCAATTTTTTCCGGCGGTAACCGTGTCTGGTTTAATGAGGCTAAACTATATGGTGCAATTAGGCTTAAGTGGAGAAGAAAATGTTTTCGTAATTTACTAGTAATTGTCTAAGTATTAATTTATCCTTATGCAATACCGTATTGCTTTGTTTAGCTGCAGAGAATTAATGCGGTGAGTTGGAACAAACGAATTAATTAACTACTGTTGTATGAGGCATGCTTAGATTAATAGTTTACACTACTAACACTATAAAATAAATCTTCGTCTGGCTATGCGACTTAAATAAAATTTAATTAAATGTCTGAGGAAATCATTTTTTAAAGGCTAAAAAGATAAAATTATTGACAGAGGCAATATAGTAAAATTGGAAACATAGTTGAGAGCGAAAAAATGTATAAAAGCCTAATCAGTGAACATTGACCCACTCATTAGATTCATTTCCTACTAACTAACCAAATAAAGTGCTCTGACAGGTGGGGCAGCGTGAGATAGGAATGCCTGTAAACGCTTCTTTCACATCCCATTATTGCTTACCAAATCTTAATACTTTCTTGTAAGGAAAAAGCATAAAAGAGAACATGGCATTAAAAAAACGGACGAGTTAAGCATACCCAATTTCATATAGAGAATAGGGATAATTAGAACATGTTATTGTATCCACAGTTTTAACTTACATTACCTCCTTCCTTGGACTCGATGACGACGTAAATAAACAAGTGATTTTGAGTAATTTCTCTTTATTCGCCGGAAGCAGATCTCAAAGGAATTTGGAACACGCCTTTTTATATTAGCGT